AAGATTTAAAAGCATCTTTGCCAACCAGTAGTTATATAATTAAAATGGCACACATTTGTCTTAAGATCTTATCTTATGAGGAAAATAAAATATTACTGAGCAGAAAGGTCACAAGAGCAGCCTCTCCCAGACTGACGTCTGTGTAGGGCAACTCCCTTTAATCTATTTCAACACCTGCACGTACAGGCAAGCTCCAAGACGGAGCCTCATACTTTCCTCCAAGTACTAGTCCCCAAACTAAGAATATAGATTATTATTAATTTTTTTTTAATATAGAGCAGCTTTTCATAGCTTCCTCTGCAAGCACTCCTCCCTGGTTACCAGGGTGTGAAAAGAACTTTAGTGCTGGCATTTTTGTCATGTCTTTAGGGGGTAAGGGGCAGCACCGATGGTGCGGAAGAACACCAGTCTCTTGGCTACAAGTGCTACAGATAGCAGCAAAGGCCGAAGCATCTTTAACATTACAGCGAAAGCCATGCATTCCAAGGGAGAAAGTGAACTCCTCTCACACCACCCCAGGAAATGTGCCCACCTGACAGATTTTTCCCAAATGTGCCCAGAACGGATTGATTGGATGGATGGATGGATGGATGGATGGATGGATGGAGAAAGGAAGAAAGCAGGAGGAAGGAAGAAAGGAAAGAAGGGGGGAAGGAAGGAGGGTAAGAAGGAGGGAAGGAAGGGAGAGAGAGAGAGAAAGGAAGAAAGGAAGGAAGAGAAAGAAAGAGAGAGAGAGAAAGAAAGAGAGAGAGTGCCCATGTACCTCCCACTGGAGGCTTCCTTGGCAGGTGAGCAGTAGGTGGCCCCTTACCTGGCGAAATTCAGAGCTACACCCTCTCAGTGCTTTCCCTTCCTCCCAATCCAAGAACTGCTTTGCATAGTAAATAGTCCGCCTGGATGAGCTAGGAACCTGGGCTTCAGGATGATCTTTTTTAGGAAGTTCCTGTGGTCCCGGTAGGGACTCTTTAGCAGGGACAAAGGAGCGCGAAGGAAAACGCACCTCCGGCCGTGCTAGCTAACAGGGTTGGGGCCACCCGAGTTTGCCAGCGCATGCAGCGGGCGGGGCAGGGCGGGGCGGGGTGCGGACGCTTGCACCTTCTAGACACCGAGTGCTGGGCACTCGTGTGACAGGACCTGGCAAGTGGACACTTCTGAGGCTCGGGAAAGGTAAGATGCCACTCTAGGGCAGGGGCTCTGGGCTGGGGGGCGGGACGGGGGGTGGGGAGACACTGCCTGAGGGGACTCCACCTGGGAAGGGAGGTGCGGATCGCCAGAAAAAAAGACTGAGATGGGTAAGGGTGCGCTGGTTTGGGGGCCTCTGAGATGGAAGAACGGTGCTGGGGTCCCAAGTCCCTCGGGAAGTCGTTGGGTCGCCCCTTCGGGGCTGGGAGTAGTCCTGCTCACCAGTCCACGCGAGAGTTACTCCTCAGCACGGTCCCGTAATGATTCGGATCCACAGTGTTTGCTGCGGGAAGGTGCGAAGTCCGGCATCCACTCGCTTGAACGGAGCAGGAGACCCAACTTACGCGGCATGCCTTTTACGGAGACTGCCAGCTTGACTTGCGCGCAGTTGAACCCTGTCTGCCGTTGCTTGTTAGCTAGAGATCAGAAACGAGATACACTCCTTAGGCCAGGGAGTCTGATAATGAGAGCTGTTGATACAGTTCCTTCAGCCATCGTTTGGCCTTGCCTTCTAAAAGCCAGGGTAAAGCCCTAAGATTGGCCCTAGTAAGATGAGCCTGAGAGTGGGGCTACCTGTCTGAATCCAGAGGGACTGACCGCGGAGACAAGTCCCACCCTAAGTGGAAAGAAGGTTTGTGCTTCAGCAGGGAAAGATGGGGCTTCCTAAAATGGAATTTTAAAAGCTTAAGAGCAGTTGCCTCGCCTAAGGTCCCAGCAACGGCTGCTTCCGTTCCATTCCGTTCTCTTTTCCCCTCTTCCCACCCTGCTTCCCGTGCTGCCCCACCTTGTGCTCTGTTTGACTTCAGGATTAGCATAGCCGTGGAAGCTGGAAAGGCACCTATCTAAAGAGCCATGTAGTTTATTGTTCACAAGCAACCTGCGCTCTCGGTTTGGTCAATACGTGCTTTCTACTCAATAGAGACTGGATTTTTGAACCCCAAAGAAGAAGCTCTTTATGACAGTTTGTTGGCTTAATAATAATGTGGCCACCTGCTGTTCTATAGTTTCTGGGGGAAAAAAAAACATGGGAAAGATACCACGGCTCCACCGAAAATGAACCTTTGGTTTTACAAAGGAGAGAGCCTGTGATGAGCAGTGAGCAAGGCATTATCTGGTAGCACAGCATTATAGAGACCAAACATTCTTCATTCTTTCCAAAAAGCTTTGATTTGCTCTCATTGAGAAAGGTAGAAACAGGTACAGTGGCTGCACTTTCCCTTGTATTCTGCCGTTTCTTCCTCTGCCTTTCTGGTGGGCACTACCTGTTGTGGCCAATATTATGTTTATGTTGAATCTCACGGGGTGCATTCATTATTTTATCCAAGGTCTCCCCTGAAATGCTCTTGGCTATAACTATGACTTAATCTTGACAAATGTCACTTTGAGGTGAGCACTGGAAAGGGCGGCGATTAAGAAGAGGACTTCCATTCTTCCCATTACTTCAGGATGGTATCAGTTACATGCTCAAATGTTCATAATTCAGACGCTATGCTATGTGGTAGGCATAATCAAAGAACAATCGATGGCTGTCACTCTTTTGCTTGTTGAACACAGTAGGTAAGGACAGATGCACAACTTGTAAAGCCACCTTCATAGCTGGAGTCCCCGAGATTGCAAAACTTTTTAATTATAGGGAAAGTAAAGTCACAAAAAATGGTAGCTACGTAACAACATTTTATATCTGTATGTTTCTACAAATGCTCATAAGGCAAACAATAAACCATTTACAACATTAGACCACACTGAAGGTGAATGGAGGCCACACACAAGTGCTGTGATTCCCACTCTTCACCTCCACCGTTTTCACCAGCCAGCTGTCTCCATCGACCTCCTCTAGAACTGGAAGCAGACAAAAACAGATTAAAGTTTAACTGTTTGGGTTTCTTTTACTGACATCCTTTAAAGGTAGATGACCACGAGGCACATACTCAGAGGCCAGAGGAAAACAGAAAATGCGTGTTCCTCGCCTGTACGTACGTGGTGCAGAGTCATGCTCATACTTCCGTGGCAAGCTACAGTGTTCCCTCGCCAGGAGTTGGATTTCATAAAGCGTCGTATCTTGTGGGTAGGACAGCAGAATGGGGATGTGTAGAGCACAGAGTGATTTCCAAACAGGGAGGTAAGAGTAGGGTCTATTCCATACGCAAAGAAACTGAAACCAAACCATTTTGTGCCTGGTCAGTGCTGTCCAGGTAAGAAATGGTAAAGCCAGGACTCCAAACAGAATGTTTTCCAGAATACTACAGTGCATACTAGGTAACTTCATGTTATTTCTATTGTATTTTATTTTATTATTTATTTATTATTTTAAAAATTTGTGATAGATTATAATTTGTTTCGCCTAAACATTCGTATTTGTTTTCTATATATTGCTTATTTCACAGATGTATACAATGTATTTTGGTCATATCATCCAACAATTTTCCCCCTCCGACTCATTCTGGACACCAGCATACACACACACAACACACACACACACACACACACACACACACACACACACACACACACTTCCTCCCAGCTCCATTTCTTATCTCCTTTAAAAAAAAAAAAACCAAAACACTAAATCAAATTAGCACTGCAACTATTTCCGTGGATGTGAAGCAACCTACCAGGAGCCACACCCATAAAGAAAAAAATGGCTGTCCCTCCCAGGAGTAGCCCAGTAGCTATTCATTTGCCAATAGCTCCTCAGCCAAGGATGGTACCTCATGTACCCCTCTGCTATCCACCCTGGAATGTTGATTGTCTAGACCTTGTGCAGGTCTTCAAGTCTTACACAGATAACCAGCCACTTTGAGTTCATGAGTAGCAACCATTAAAAAAAAAAAAAAATCAATACTCAGCAGTTCTCCCTAACCACGGGTTCTTACAAATGTTCTGCTATTTCTTCTGCAATGTCCCCTGTACCTTTGGGTGGGGGTGATACAGACACCCATTTAATGATGAGCACTCCATGGTCATTTTTTTCTTTGCATTTTGACCAACTGTGTCTCTGTTCAGTAATCGCTGTCCATTGCAAAAAGAAGCTTCTCAGATGAGGGCTGAGAACTGCATTAATTTTTGGTATGAAGAAAAAAGTATTTAGAAGGCAGTTTGATACTATATTTAGTATAGTAATAATAGCAGGCTCTTCCCTAGATCTTATGACCTCTCCAGCCAGGTTTATGATACCAAGTCTGAGCTCTGTCCTATGGAGTAGGCCTTAGAGTTAATAAAAATCAGCCAGTTACCCACCGTCACATTCATGCCACTATCACAACTTTGCTAACACCCTCTCAGGCTGATCATTACTGTGCCATCAAGAGCTCACAACTGGATGACTTTTCTCCCAGGTAGTATGCATGGAATTGTCCAGCACTGTAAAAGCTGGCCAGCAAGGAGAAAATGTTCAGTTCAATACCGGCTTGAATATGCTATGACCGAAATACGTAGCATATTCAGCAATAGGGTCTTACTTACCATCACGTCCTGATGGATGATCAAGAGCAGTGGCAACAGCTTGTCTTGTTTTAGGGGCTGCTGGAATGCACCTGACTAACACAAGGGGAAGTGTCCCATACCAGGCACTGAGACTTTTGTTTAGTAACTAATGGCTTCTAGAAGGAGTAATATCCCTCCGTTTAGGTTACTTCTATTCAAACTTTTTTTTTTTTTTTTTTCAGTGAGCTTATAAAGTACTATGTTTCCATGTGGCTTTTCCAAATCTCCTTAGTGTTAGTTGTTATTCTCACAATCCTTCCCTCTGCAATCCCATTCCTCCCCTTAATTAACACCTCCCATTATTCCTTTTTTCTTCCATATAACCCGTGTTCTATTACTCCCTCTCCCTTACGATCTTCCCAAACCCCTCTGCAATTATCCGTTTCTAGTATCCTGGATTTTACAGGTACCCCAAGTTATCACACACATCTTAGCTGAATCCACATATGAGAGAGAACACGTGGTATCTGTCCCTCTGGGCCTAAGTTACCTCATTAATTGAATAGTTTTCAGTTTCATAATTTTCCTGCCTATTCTGTAATTTTATTTTTCTTTACAGGTGGGATAAAATTCCATTGTTATATATTCCAAATTTTCATTAACCATTCATTAGTTAATGGACATCTAGGCTGAGTCTGTTCTCTAGCTATTGTGATTCGAACAGCAATGAGCATGGATCAGCAAGTAACCATCATTAGTTTAGAGAGGCCTCTGGGTATGTGCCCTGGAGTGGAATAGCTGTATCATATGATACATCTATCTCTAGTTTTTTGAGGAGCCTCAACACTGACTTTGAAAGTGGCTTCACTAATTTACAGTCCACAAACAGTGGATAAGCACTTTCCTCACATCCTTGCTGGCGTTTTCTTTTTGTTTTCTTGACCTTAGCCATTCTGAATGGATAAGATGAAATCTCAATGTAGGTTTAATTTTCATTTCTCTGGTTGCTAGGGATGATGAGCACTTTAAAAATATTCATTAGTCATTTATACTTTCTCTTTTGCGAATGCTGTTTGGTTCCAACGTCCATTTTTAAAATTGGATTGTTTGTTTGTTTTTACATTCTATGTACTAATCCTCTGTCAGATATATAAGGCAAAGTTGTTGTTTTTTTCCCCATTCTGTAGGGTATTTCTTGAATTGATTAACAGCTGACTCCATAGGACAGAACAAATTTTAATTTCATTAGGCCCCACTTGTTGATTGTTGGTCTTTTTTTACTGCAAGACTAGGGTCCTATTCAGAAAGGCCTTAGCTGAGTCTATATTTTGAAGTTGACTTGCTTCTTTTTCTTTTAGAAGTTTCAGACTTTTTGGTCTAGTATTCAAGTCTTTGGTACATTTGGAATTCATTTTTGTACGTGGTGAGAAATAATGAACTTTCAAGGACTGGAGAGATGGCTCAGCAGTTAAAAGCACTTGTTGCTCTTGCAGAGGATGCAGGTTTGGTTCCCAACACTCACATGGTGGCTCACAACCATCCATAATTCTAGTTCCAGGGCA